AGGATGTCCCGGCAGGAAAGGCGCCAGATGTGACTTCACACCTATTGGACCAACTCCTGGTCCACCACCCCCGTGAGGAATACAGAAAGTCTTATGTAGATTGAGATGGCAAACATCGGCGCCAATTTCTCCAGGGGAGCATAACCCAATTTGTGCGTTCATGTTGGCACCATCCATATAAACTTGACCATTGTGTTGATGGACCATCTCGCATACAGCCTTGATCTCAGGCTCAAAAACACCAAAGGTACTAGGATAAGTTATCATGACTGCACCTAGCTCCTCGCTATGCCTCTCGCACTTTGCCTTCAGATCTTCCATGTCAAGATTGCCAGATTTTGTGTCGCATTTGACAGTCACAACCCTCATGCCGGCCATTGCAGCAGAAGCAGGATTGGTGCCATGGGCAGAGACTGGAATCAAACAAATATCCCGTTTCTTTCCTGGCCGTTGCTCTTGAAACTTCCTAATAACACGAAGCCCTGTGAATTCACCCTGTGCTCCGGAGTTTGGTTGTAAGGACACAGCGTCAAACCCGGTGATCTTAGCTAGGTCAAGTTCCAATTCGTCGATCATGATCTTGTATCCTTCGGCTTGTTGGGCAGGAGCAAAAGGGTGTATCGCAGTGAACTCAGGCCATGTGATAGGGGCCATTTCGGTAGCAGCATTGAGCTTCATGGTGCATGATCCCAACGGAATCATTGAGTGTGTCAAGGAAAGGTCCTTTGATTGGAGGTGATGGATGTAGCGGAGAAGCTCGGTCTCGGAGTGATGTGAGTTGAAAACAGGATGTGTCAGGTATTCTGAGGTTCTTTGGAAGGGAGAAGGGAGTTGGACCTTGCCATTTCCCGGCAACGATGAAATGATCTGGTCAATATCGATGTCCTTCAGGGAACCCGAGAAGTCCTTGAAGACAGCCAGGATATCATAGAGGTCTTGGTAATCAACTGTTTCATCAACAGTGATACCAATCTTCCCGTTGTCGAGTTTTCGTAGGTTGATGTGGAACTTTTCCGATGCATATGCCAAAAGTTCATCCGCTTTCCCTTTGCCAACGTTGGCAGTCACCGTGTCGAAGAGCACTCTACCATCCTCGCCCTTGCCCCTCGATCCGGTCTCAAAGCCAAAAGTCCTGAGACCGTCTTCAACAACTCTTGCTCCAAGGATTGCCCTGTGGGCAATGTTCTTCAAGCCTTGTGGGCCATGATATACGGCATAGAACGCGCTCATGTTAGCAAGAAGTGCCTGCGCGGTGCATACATTACTTGTTGCCTTCTCGCGCCTGATGTGCTGTTCTCTCGTCTGAAGAGCTAGTCTCATCGCCTTATCTCCCAACCTATCCTTGGAGACGCCAATGAGTCGGCCAGGAATCTTGCGTTTGTGCTTATCAGTAACCGCAAAAAATGCAGCATGAGGCCCACCATAACCAAAGGGCACACCAAATCTTTGTGCATTGCCAAAAGCAATGTCTGCACCGAACTCCCCTGGTGGAGTGAGCACAGTCAAAGCAAGGAGATCAGTGGCAACGCTCAACGTTGCGCCTTGACCATGAACAACATCTGCAAGGCCTCTGAAGTCTTCAACTCCTCCTTCGGTATCTGGGTACTGGACCAGAACACCAATGAGATCATTTCCAAGCTCTTTCACGCGCGCAGCCCCATCTACAAGAACGTCTCCAATCTCAATCTTAATGTCAAAGCCATCTGCCCGGCTTTGGAGTACCGCTTGTGTTTGTGGATGGACCAAGTGACTGACGAAGAAGGTCTTGTTCTTGCTCTTCTGCCGTGCTAGTGGGAGAGCATTCATGGACAGTGTCATTGCTTCTGCTGCCGCGGTGCCTTCATCTAAAAGAGATGCGTTCGAAATTGGCAATGCTGTGAGATCAGAAACAAGAGTTTGGAAATTTAAAAGGGATTCAAGGCGCCCTTGACTGATTTCTGGCTGATATGGAGTGTAGCTTGTGTACCATCCTGGACCTTCCAAGACGTTCCGCTTTATGACTTCCGGTACACGGGTACCCGCATATCCACAGCCAATATAGCTTCGCATGATGATGTTTTTGGAAGCAATTGATCGAAGTCGAGCCAGGAGTTGTGACTCGGTGAATCCCGCCTCTCCACCATCATTCGTAGGGTCTATATCGAGATCTTTCGATGACAAGATGTTGCTGGGTAAAACCTGCTTGACGAACTCATCTAGAGTTTTTGCAGGAGGCTCTAGAGCCTTTAGCATTTGCGAGGTGGAATCTGGAGATGGTCCAACGTGTCTTCGCGCAAAAGTATCCAGAGGTAGATAGCCCAAGCCAGAGGCGGTAGTGTCTCGTAAACTGTTTGTGTCATCTTTGGCAGAGCTTGTGTAGAAAGTTCTGCGACCAATGGCACGCGGTGCGCTCGTTGATCGAGGGCATCGTTGACCAAGAGATCGCTGAAAAGGTCGAGTTATAGTTGAAATGTTTGGTTGTATGATTATCCTCCGAAGCCGAACTCTGAGAATAAACCCGCAAGCTGCCATCGCGACAGAATTCCCAGTTGTGAACGCTCAATACTCAAGAGAAAGTCGGTGAAAAGGCCGATAACCTTGCGTTGTGTCAATAGCTGGATGGTGGGGTTCGGAGAGATTAGGAAGCGGTCAGAGGTGCATCGTACTGCGCGTTGTGTGCCACAGACCACAGATATCTATGTAAAGGAACAAAGAGGAATTGCGAGTCCAAGGGGGTCTTCCCCAAAAGATGAAGGTAATTGTGTAGTGCTCTTGGTGTCGACATCCGTTCGAAATCAATGTCTCGTAGATGTTTTTTAGAGAAAGTTCCTAGCGCGCCAGTGACGCCACTCAACGAATCAGTGACAGGGATCTACTTGGTAGGGATTCTTACTCCGTACTGTACTTAAATGGCATGTGGGTCCCTAGCCGTAGGGCCGGTCGGGCCTCGGCATAGGTCGCATCAACGTTTCCCCGAGCAAACAGCGCTCTTTCTTCTGCCCATACAAAATAAGTTTTGTCACCGCCTTGAATTCTGCCGCCAATCAAGCAGCTCTCCTTTTCTGCCCATACGTTGTACACATCAAGCAAAGGCGGTGACAAACCCTATGGCTGCTGCCTCCGTACAGTACGCTGGTATTTTTCTAGATTAACATTCACACCCGGCCCGGCAGGATACACTTCATCCACATACCAACCACATCCTCACACTCGCAAGTATGTTCGGCGGACGTAAGTACCAGTTTATTCAGATATTTGCTGCAAATTCTCCCTTCAAGCACACATTCCTTGATGGCCTACGCGACAACATGAAACTTGGCTAACCGTGCTTCAGCACCTCCACAATTGAGCGCAGCCGAGTTAAAGGCACAAGAACAGGAAGCTAGCTTGACGGTACAGAGGAGTCTGGTTGCAGCAGTTCTGCTCTATCTGTGTAAGTGTGACCATGTTGCAATCTAGCCAGATCGACGGGACTACAGCTAACATCTGACTTTGTAGCTCCGTTTGCGATCAGCGCTGTGAAGCAGCTGATATAAGATAATTCTGGCACGAAGAACCTCAAAACCCGTCGATTCCCGTGCGGGGCTGTACGATACGAGCTCGATAAAATAGCGAATGTGACATAAGGACAAGGCTGATGGCATCTAGGGAGAGGAATTGAATGCTAGTACATTGTAAAATAAGCATCGAGTATCTTGCATACGAAGGCATCCCCAAACCGTCGATGGATTGAAAAAACCCCAGGAGAACTTTATTTGAAGCAGATTACAGCGTACTTCGGTTTTCTCGAGACGTTATTATATTTTTTGCTCGGAGAACTGAAAGTAGCAACCCCATTCTATGAATTGCGCTGCGTGGCTAGTTATGAACGTAAGTGTCACTCATCAAGAATACATGAAAATCCAACCTCTTCACACCAAATCTTATCACACCAAATCTCATTACATCAATCTCTACTCACCAACTTCCTCCACAATCACCCTCGTCTTCCACAAGCAGATATTACAAACATCATCAGCAGCTTGCATCATGCATGGGCTGACACAATGGAATTTCCGGTAGAAGAAGAGGTGGAATTCGAGGAACTGCCGTTCGAGTTAGGTGATTTGCTCAACCCGCAACCTGATGTCCTAATGCCGCACATACGTTGAAGACTCGGAGGATTATGACGATGACAGTGACTGTTGAGATCACCTCCTCCGGCAGCTATCTTGTTCCCAAAATATAGTAGTATCCTCTACATTTTTATAATACGCTGCACCACACTGCCAACATGAGCATATGCTCGAAACCCAAAGCACATTAACCTTATATCTACCCAGTTATAATAGCTTCAAGGTTTCAAATTGATCATCAAAACAATATTTTTCTTTTCAGTTGGTCGTTGCAGCTCGAGGCGTTGAACCTCAACCCTGGCAAGTATTTAATAACCTCCATAAGATCTCAATTCCTTTACCCTGTGGTAATATCATACTATTGCTAACCATAATGATCGTTGAGCCAATACGTCATCTTAGCGGGAAAAGAACACCCGGGGACGAGAATCAAAGACACCAGCATCGATCTTAGACATGAATTCGGTTGGAAAGGTGACTATTCACTATTCAAACGCTCAAAAGAATATAATGATTTCAGACGACAAAAGCGTAGCTGAAAACTTCAATTCGCTGGTCCGGCATATCCTCGCTCGAATGCATTTGTCTGATGCAGTGTGATAAAAATACACCCAAGAATGCAAAAATAATGTGTCAGAGTGATGGGATAGTGCATACTAGGATTTATTAGATGCCGTATCGAAGTTTAGGACTAAGGTTAAATGAAACAGTTTATCTAATGGCATAGTTATTTGCACGATGTATAGCCTTATTACATAAGAGACATCCCAGTGGTTTGGATAAGTTCCGGATGGTTGAGGTTCTGTTTGTACTCCGAATAGTGTTCGTTGCTTGTTTCGAAGTAGCTAAACGAGACATTATTACTAGCTTTATATTTAGAAATAAGATGAACCTACCATCATTTCCGCCCTCGTAGCTCAATGGTAGAGCGCGTCACTAGTAGGTGTTACACTCGACATGACGAGGTTGCCGGTTCGATTCCGTCCGAGGGCATTGACTTTTGGTTTTATTTTCATTAATTTTTTATACGTGACGAAGAAGATGAATGCTTTTGCATCAACTGTCGAACTGGCAAAAAGGGTACGGAGTACTTGGTCTTTTTGAAAATCTGGTCTTCCGTCAACGCCAAGACATTCTTGTGAGCCAGTCGTGATAGTCCAAGCGCCGCCTTGGCGTGCCCGTGCTCTGTAAGGACATAGCCCAGCGCGCTGTGAACGCGATATCAACAGCCTCAAATTTATTTACATTTGCAGCTTCGATCGGTCTTAAGACAACCAAGACTTACGCTTACAATGCCGTCGCCTTCGAGATCGAGGTCGCAGACCAGAGAAAGATCAGTCTCAAGAGGTCGCACACGTTCACCATACTCTGATCGGCGTCGCACCGTCTCCCCAAGATCTCCCAGTCGCAGCCCACCTCGAAGAAATGGAAGATTCAGAAGCGATACTAGAAGTGTTAGTCGTGGCAGAAGCTCAAGTCCGCTCCGAAGCACGAAGGTTTGTCAAGCTATCTATTCTATCTGAGAAGTCTTAACATTTTATAGGTCGTTGTCGAGAAACTCACGAAGAATGTGAACGGAGATCATCTGCGGGAAATATTCGGTTCATATGGTGAAATTCGAGATCTAGATATGCCAATCAACAGACAATGTAAGGACTTCACCTTCCAGTCTAGATCTCTTTCTAACTTCATAGTCAACACCAATCGTGGCACCGCCTATATTCTTTACACATCTGAAGGCGACGCCGAAGCAGCAATTGCGCATATGCATGAGTCTCAAATCGACGGGGCCATCATCAATGTATCAATTGTTTTAGCTCGTCGCAAATTCTCCCCCTCACCACCAATGGCAAGGCGTGGCGCAAATATCGACCCTCGTGGGCCTCCCGCCGCGAGCTTCCAAGGACCACCGCCTGCACGCCGCAGATCTCCAGTTCCTGGTTATGGAAGACCTGAGAGAAACACGGATACCTACAGACCAAGATCTTTGTCGCGCTCAAGGTCGCCCAGACGGCACAGAACTCGCTCAAGATCGTACTCCTCACGATCGCGATCCTGGTCTCCACCCAGAAGGCGAGGAGGTGGTAGGCATGATAGTTCAGGACGAAATAGTGGTAGAAGGAGAAGGAGTCCAAGCTACAGCAGCTATAGCAGCTATGATGATAGGAGCCGCAGCCGAAGTCGTGGTCGTGGACCAAGACTCCGACGGTAAATCATCGAGTGAATCTGGTTTTATGGCGCCGGAGTTAGGCTGGAAAATTGTATGATTTGGCGGCGAGAAGCATTTGGTGCTTTTTGTAAGATTTCGATACGAAGTGTAAAACATACATTTATGAATTCATGATAGGCCCCTCCCTCATTATGAAATGAACGGAGGTTGAAATTACATGGTTGAGAAGGAACAGCCTACCTAGGAGCATTGAAGATTTCTTACATCCCAAGGTCTGGTCTTGTGAACACAACATACTTAAAGACTGTCTTCGTCTCCTAAGATCCTTCTACCTTCATTTTTCAGCCTACAAATATTAGCTCTTGGTATGTAACATCATTTGTGGACGGGCGTGGATCTAACATCTCCAGACAGATACCACCCAGACTTTCTCCATTCCCCGGAAAAGCCAATCCGACCCCCCTTCTTACAACATCGTCGATGGCAAGAAATTTGACGTTCATGACAAGCCGTACACTTCCCAGATCGTAAAGCCCAAAAAAACGTGCAGGGAATACTACAAAAACCCCATCGGAACCTAGGCTCACCTAGAGCCCGTCAAAGTGGTGAAGCCCTAGCAATGCAGGAAACACATCAAGCCCCTACTACATGCCGGACTCACCCCAAGCCGCATCCTTCTACAGTGGTATGGCCGAAGGATGGCTAGGAGGCCTACAAGAGTCCTACTTCGGTCGAGTGCGAATCCATGGTCGATGGAACAAAGGATGAACCTGCGAAACCTGTAAAGATCACTGGAGACCTGTCTCGAAGCTACTCAGTAAAGTCGAAGAAGTCTAGGTTGAAAGATCCCGAACCCGGGCTAACTGAAGGAATTTCTCGTGGTCCCCAAGTGAGGGCATACAAAACCGACGAGATCTCAAACAAGGATTCCCATATCCGAAGGTTTTAGGAAAACACAATATCTCTGAGCGTGATTAGAGGAGCCTCCTACATGCAATCATTTCCCCCTTGAACGGTCATGGCGCCGGTGTAGGTTACGAAATAGACAACATCCTTGATGTGGTTGTAGAGTGGGATCAGCAGTTCTGTCGTCAACGAAAGAGGCTTCTAATGCGAATTGATATGCCTAGCGAGGAAAACTTTGGACTCGACTTCATGGACCTCTCTCTATTATGGGGGAACTGGCAATAGGAAGACATTCAGCATAGGGCATGGAATTGAAGGCAGTGGACACAGGGACAAAATGAAGAGCAGCAAGGACAGAGATCTTGCGCGTATTAGAGAGAAGATGTTTGAGGGTACCCGCCTGGTGTTTGATCCCATGGTCGTATGCAAGAACAAGACACTCTACGAGCAATGAGGTTGGGCTCGGTGGGATTAAGCAATATGCCGAACGAAGCAGGAAAGGACAGGATTCTTGTCAGGTCTTCTTTTGTACCGCAGACGGCTTCAAACAAAGTCCAAACATAAATCCTTCAGAAGCACAATTCTGAACTCAAACCAAAAGCGTGTTCAAGAGGTACGCTCTCAAGCTGTGGGTGCCTACTCAACCTCAACCTTCCCCTCCTCAGCTCCAGTCTCCCCAATAACCACCGCAGCCAATCTAGCCCACTCAGTCTTGCTTGCATTCTTCCAAGCATGCATAGTAGCCCTCTGCAACACAATCTCTCCCTGCTGGATCATCCTCTTCTCTCCATTCCCAAGGGTCAATTCCACCTCACCAGTCAACACGTAGATAAAGTCCAGAGTGCGGGTGCGGTGCATGAAGCCGTCCTCACCAGTTGGGTTTGGAGCCAGATCAAGAACGGTCGAGTTGGTGGCTCCAGCGATGGGGAAGCTGCGGAGAGGTGGTTCCTTGGGAGCGGTTTCGTGGTGCTTTAGATCTTCGTTGGCGGTGACGGAGAATCCTGCTGGGGCAGAGTAGATGTAGGTTACATTGAATGATGGGTCCCAGGCCTGGATGGGTGGGACTGTCTTTTCAATGAATGATGAAGTACCGTCTGGAGCGTTGGCGGTGTTGTGAAAGACCACTGGAGGGAGCGGTGAGGACATGGTCGATCTTATTGCGTTCAATCTTAGAAGTGTCCCGAAAATAGGGGAATGATTTGAGTTGCCCTTGGTTTGTCCTGTTTGGATGATCGTACTTCGTAGACAGAGACAATTTGAGGATTTCGAGGAAAATCACAACTGCTATAGACCGATGCTATATATACCGATGCTATACACCGAAGCGGCCACGGTCCCTGGCACACACCGGTGCATATAGCCAACGCTGTTGCCACGTACACCGAACATGGTCCCCAAGGTGCCACGCTCTGATTCGTAATAGAAGATGCAAAGCCTGGGGATATCGGACTTATAATTCTTGAATTGACATGTTGTACGTAGTATTCTTTGTAAACAAGACCTGCATGAAACCCTTGCCAAGGAGATCAGAAGTCCCCAACGTGGATGCGGCTGAAAACAAGACACTCCGTTCAAGACTCTTTACCAACTGACCACGGCCAAGGCATATAAGTTTCGAAACGTAGTATGGAGTAGCGGGGCCTGAACTAATAAGACTGAAGCCCAGGGCAGCAGCAATGAACAGATGGAGCAGATGACACAATGTAGGTGGGGAAGTACTTCGTACACGATGTGTTGACCTGCTTGTGCTTACAAAACCACCCATGTGAGAGCCTTCGGGTTACTTCTGAAAGGGTAAAATCCAAATAATGGGTAATGGGTAAGGGGAAGAGAGCAGAACTTCCCGTCTAGTCGGCGAATAGGCGAATAGGCGAAGATGTAGACGTAACCTTACAGGGAGAAATCAAGGTAAAGGGACGCCATATGAATGAACCAATAGGAGACCAAAAAGAGGCACCCTCACCTTAATATTTTACATTTATTTCGCCCTGGAGGTTGTATCATCTTGTATGTACGTCCGTGGTATTGGATGTGCATCAAGCGACCTCGTCCCGTGATCGGAAGACATCGGCCCGGGCAGACCAGATACCGGTCTGGTATCCAAACATTCCGGTGGTCGGAAGAACGTCGGCCCGGTCAGATCAGGTACCCGTCCGGTGTCCGAACATTCCCCGTGCGGCGGCCGGAAGAACGTCGGCCCTCCCCTCCAACCCGGTCTCCAACCTTCATCTCTTGGAGAAATAGATCGAAACAAAAACAAACCTTTCCCTCGAACCATCGAATCCTGCCTTTCCGCCTTCTCTGCGCGACATGCAATCCTACTAGTCCTACCGTGTGACCGATCATCCACATATCTTGGCCGCATAACCGCTCTGTTTCGAGATGTCTCGCCATTTTCTGGCCCCCATGGCTTAGGCCCAAAGTCGCAGCTGGAGCCTCCAGTCTGGAGAGGAGGACCACACCACAGCCAGACCCAGAGCCAGAGTCTTGCCCAACGTTGCTCGCATCAGCAGCCTCAACCATCCCTTTCTTGACATCAAAAACTTCACCTGCTACTCCTGCGAGCTTCTCTTCCATCGGCATGTCAATCTCAACCCCCTTCCAAGGTATGCACAACGTCCCCTGTCTCCCCACGGGTGCTGTCAACAGTCAAACCCACGTCATGTCAGCTCCGGCATCCTTGATATCAAATCAGGATCCCCTTCTATTCACAGCCTGACAAGGCTGCAGAAGATCCCATTCAGTTCTGTTTCTATTCCTGCAATGTGCGAATCGAATGCCCAATCTCCGTGATTCACTGACCCTGTTTGTAGTTGTTTACTTGTAGGACCCCCACCATGCCTCCACCAGGACTCCTTGCGCCCTCGGGCAAGCAGTTCTCTCTACACAAACTCATGGCCATGTCAACAATGATGTC